GGCAGGCGGTAACTGTGACTGCGGCTGGACAGTCGGAGGACACTCTACGGAGGGAGGAGGACAAGGAGGAGGAGCCTGCCCAAGAACCTGCTGAAGGAGCGGTACGAAGTACGGTCGCGGCCGCGCAGCGTCTCCAGAAGCAGAAGAGACTCCAGCGGCCGGGTCCGCAGTACCAGCAGGAGCTCCAACGTCCGGTTCCCAGCACCAGCAGCAGCGCCACCGCTCGGGTCCTCAGCTCCAGCAGCAGCTCCACCAGGTGGGTCCGCAGCACCAGCAGCAGCGCCACCCTCAGGGTCCGCAGCACCGCTAGGAAGAGCACCCCCAGAGGCGGCAGCTCCAACTCCGCTAGCACCGCCAGCGCCAGAGTCCCCAGCTCCAGCAGCTCCAGTCGTAGTGCTCCCAGAACAACCAGTCCCGGCAGCTCCAGTACCCCCAGTAGGAGCATCCCCAGGACGAGCAGCTCCAGCACCCCCAACTCCAGCCGAGCCACGAGGACGGCGAAAGCGCCGGACGTACCAGTCACGAAGCTGCTGCGGTGTGAGAGACTGCTCAGCACCCCGAACCGGAGCACCCCCAGACGCAGCAACCCGAGGCTCCGTAGGCTCAGTAGCAGCACCCCCAGGCTCAGTACCCGCAGGCGCAGCACCCCCAGACTCCGCACACGCAGGCTCAGCACTCCCAGTCGCAGCACCCCCAGGCACAGCACCCCCAGGCGTCGAACTCTCAGGCACAGTACCCTCAGCCCCAGCACCCGCAGTCCCAGCACTCCCAGGCCCAGCACCCGCAGGCTCAGCACCCCCAGACTCAGCACTCCCAGCAGCACCACCTGCAGCAGCACCTGAGTCACCTGTGACCTCGACAGGCTCAGCGACGGGAGGAGGGTCTACCTGAGAGACACCTGAAGGAGCAGGACCCTGAGGGGGGAGGGGGTCTACCGGAGGGGGACCAGGAGCAAGGAACAGCGGCGGGGGAGGGAGGGGGGCAGTGCGGTAGGGGAAGAGACGGTAAAAAGGGACCGACTCGTCAAAGGTGACATCCTGAGAGGCGAAGACCCGGCGCGAGGTGGGGTGGTAAAACTGCCAGCCAGGCGCGTCAGGGACAAAGCCAAGGAAGACACAGGGAAGCGTGCGGGAGGAGAGCTTGTCCGCGGACGTATCGCGGACAAGGGCACGAGCACCCCACACCCGGAAGCGCGACGCATCGCCAACCTCCCCCGTCCAACGCAGTGTGGGCGAGGTCTCCGGCAAGGAGACACGGGGCCAGAGGTTGAGCTGATGCGCGGCGTACCGGACAGCAAACGGCCACAGAAAATGGGGAGCCGCCGCGTGGACCAAGGAGGTACGAGCGACCTCCATGACCAGGCCAATGCGGCGCTCAGCAACCCCATTCTGCTGTGGGGAGTCCGGAAGCGTGAAGGTCTGCTCAATGCCCTCCGCCTGACAGAAGGTCCTCAAGAGATCGGAGGAAAACTCACCACCTCTGTCAGAGTGCAGACGCAGGACAGGAAGATCCGTCCGGAAACGGCGGCGGAGCTGGAGACGAACTGTGCGGATCCAAGGGATCAGAACAGCAGGGACCTCACCCTTGGTGCGCAAGGGGAAGACCGTGGTGTAACGCGAGTAGTCGTCGACAACCAGCAAAAAGTACCGCTCACCGCCCTGACCACGAACGCGGGCTGGGCCCCACACGTCCAGGTGGAGGGTCTGCAGAGGAGCCTCTGTCGGGGGGAACGAGGAGGAGTGAGGAGCGGCGCGCTGCCGCCCCTCGACGCAAGGAAGGCAAGGCGGCGCAGGCGAGGCAGGGAGGGGAGGGAGGGACCTGGGAAGACCAGACACAAGGTGGCGACGGTGCATGCCACGAAGGCGTGGCAAGGAGGGGTGACCCAGGCGGTGGTGCCAGAGAAGAGTCTGGTGCGACAGGGAACGACACTCACAGGCGTGGGCTACCAGACCTGACGCAGACACCTGACCGACAGCAGCGACCTGAGGAGACGCAGTGGTCAGTGTGTAGAGACTCGACCCCGGCCGACGGGTAAACGTAGCCAGGTGACGGCCGGTCCTGGAGCACGTGCAGATCGCCACACGCTGTCCTCCAGGGGTAAAGGTGTCAACCCACTGATCCTGGATGACAGCGTTGCTCACCAGGTTCGTCGAGAACGAGGGGAGGTGGAAACCCGACAACGAGCCAGACGGAACCGCCGGACAAGGGAGGACAGTGGTGGACTGGGCAAGGACTGGGCCCCCAGAGGGGTCAGCCAAGGAGACTGGGACCGGTGCAGGAAGCGGTGTGAGCTCAGTACTGTCACGAAAGAAGCAACGGGAAGCACCTGAGTCAAGGGTGAAGGTGTGACAGGCCTCAGCCGGTGCGGTACCTGAGAGAGCAGTCTCTGTGGGTGCTGTACCTGAGAGAGCAGACTCGCAAACAGCCGGGACAGCACTAGAGGGAGCAAGTACAGGGGGCACCATACCAGAGAGAGCAGACTCACTAGTACCTAGGGCAG